GTGAGTCTATGGGTCTCTGTGTGAGTTTATGGATCTCTGTGTGAGTCTATGGGTCTCTGTGTGAGTCTATGGATCTCTGTGTGAGTCTATGGGTCTCTGTGTGAGTCTATGGGTCTCTGTGTGAGTCTATGGGTCTCTGTGTGAGTCTATGGCTCTCTGTGTGAGTCTATGGGTCTATGTGAGTTTATGGGTCTCTGTGTGAGTCTATGGGTCTCTGTGTGAGTCCACGGGTCTCTGTGTGAGTCTATGGGTCTCTGTGTGAGTCTACGGGTTTCTGTGTGAGTCTATGGATCTCTGTGTGAGTCTATGGGTCTCTGTGAGTTTATAGGTCTCTGTGTGAGTCTATGGGTCTCTGTGAGTTTATAGGTCTCTGTGTGAGTCTATGGGTCTCTGTGTGAGTCTATGGGTCTATGTGTGAGTCTAGGGTCTCTGTGTTAGTCTATGGGTCTCTGTGTGAGTCTATGGGTCTCTGTGTGAGACTATGGGTCTCTGTGTGAGTCTATGGGTCTCTGTATGAGTCTATGGGTCTCTGTGTAAGTCTATGGGTCTCTGTGTGAGTCTATGGGTCTCTGTGAGTTTATAGGTCTCTGTGTGAGTCTATGTGTCTCTGTAGTGAGTCTATGGGTCTCTGTGTGAGTCTATGGGTCTCTGTGTGAGTCTATGGGTCTCTGTGTGAGTCTATGGGTCGCTATGGGTCTCTGTGTGAGTCAATGGGTCTCTGTTTGGGTCTATGGGTCTCTGTGTGAGTCTATGTGTCTCTGTGTGAGTCTATGTGTCTCTCTAGTGAGTCTATGGGTCTCTGTGTGAGTCTATGGGTCTCTGTGTGAGTCTATGGGTCTCTGTGTGAGTCTATGGGTCTCTGTGTGACTTTATGGATCTCTGTGTGAGTCTATGGGTCTCTGTGTGAGTATATGGATCTCTGTGTGAGTCTATGGGTCTCTGTGTGAGTCTATGGGTCTCTGTGTGAGTCTATGGGTCTCTGTGTGAGTCTACGGGTTTCTGTGTGAGTCTATGGGTATCTGTATGAGTATATGGGTCTCTATGTGAGTCTATGGGTCTCCTTGCGAGTCTATGGGTCTCTGTGTGAATCTATCGGTCTCTGTGTGAGTCTATGGGTCTCTGTGTGAGTCTACGGGTCTCTGTGTGAGTCTATGGGTCTATGTGTGAGTCTATGGGTCTCTGTGTGAGTCTGTGGGTCTCTGTGTGAGTCTATGGGTCTCTGTGTGAGTCTATGGGTCTCTGTATGAGTTTATGGGTCTCTGTGTGAGCTTTGGGTCTGTGTGAGTCTATGGGTCTCTATGGGTCTCTGTGTGAGTCAATGGGTCTCTGTGTGGGTCTATGGGTCTTTGTGTGAGTCTGTGGGTCTCTGTGTAGGTCTATGAGTCTCTGTGTGAGTCTATGGGTCTCTGTGTGAGTGTCTGGGTCTCTATGGATCTCTGTATGATTCAATGGGTCTCTGTGTGGGTCTATGGGTCTCTGTGTGAGTCTATGGGTCTCTATGTGGGTCTAGGGTCTCTATGTGAGTCTATGGGTCTCTGTGTGTGCCTATGGGTCTCTGTGTGCGTCTGTGTGGGTCTCTATATGAGTCTATGGGTATCTGTGTGAGTCTATGGGTCTCTGTGTGAGTCTATGTGTCTCTGTGTGAGTCAATGGGTCTCTGTGTGGGTCTATGGGTCTCTGTGTGAGTCTATGGGTGTCTGTGTGAGTCTATGGGTCTCTGTGTGCGTCTGTGTGGGTCTCTATGTGAGTCTATGGGTCTCTGTGTGAGTCTATGGGTCTCTGTGTGAGTCTATGTGTCTCTGTGTGAGTCTATGTGTCTCTGTGTGAGTCTATAGGTCTCTGTGTGAGTCTATGTGTCTATGTGTGAGTCTATGTGTCTCTGGGCGAGTCTGTGGGTCTCTGTGTGAGTCTGTGTCTCTGTGTGAGTCTATGTGTCTCTGTGTGAGTCTATGGGTCTCTGTGTGAGTATATGTGTCTCTGTGTGAGTCTGTGCGTCTCTGTGGTGAGTCTATGTGTCTCTGTGTGAGTCTATGTGTCTCTTTCTGAGTGTGTGGGTCTCTGTGTGAGTCTATGTGTCTCTGTGTGAGTCTATGTGTCTCTGTGTGAGTCTATGGGTCTCTGTGTTAGTCTATGGGTCTCTGTGTGAGTCTATGTGTCTCTGTGTGGGTCCATGGGTCTCTGTGTGAGTCTATGTGTCTCTGTGTGGGTCTATGTGTCTCTGCGTGAGTCTATGGGTCTCTGTGTGTCTATGTGTCTCTGTGTGAGTCTATGTGTCGCTGTGCGAGTCTATGGGTCTCTGTGTGAGTCTATGGGTCTCTGTGTGAGTCTATGTGTCTCTGTGTGGGTCTATGGGTCTCTGTGTGAGTCTGTGTGTCTCTGTGTGAGTCTATGTGTCTCTGTGTGAGTCTATGTGTCTCTGTGTGAGTCTATGTGTCTCTGTGTGAGTCTGTGGGTCTCTGCGCGAGTCTACGTGTGCACGTTGAACTTCTTTCGCACCGTACGTAGCCAACCGCGCTAATCGGTGGTACGTTGAAAGGACAACAAAACGAAACACAAGAAGCAGTTCTAAAGAAATGAGTTCGTCAATCGAGATGATTTAAAAGTCTACAGCTCCAGTCGCTTCCTAATGTCGGAAGGGAAGAGCGTTCCAGACGGACCGCAGAAGGGCATCTGAAAGCGCCGCGCGACGATGATGCCGGTGACCGTCTAACGCAGTGGCCCTTAGCCCTTTACCGCAGCCTTGTATCCCTTTGGCTCTCAGTCGACAAAAAAAAATGAAACTACGACGTTAATAAATACACAGTGGTTTGATGACACAAAGTAATATTCTTTGCTTCTTTCGGTAAAGTCACGTAGAATGAGAATAAAATAATAAAATAAAAATAAGACGATTAAATTCTCACGACGTTTCGGCCACAACACAAGCAGCCTTCATCAGGTGAAAGAACTGGACTGTCGGGACGACAGCGCTTCAAACAGTCCCGACAGTTCTGTTCTTTCACCTGATGAAGGCTGCTTGTGCTGTGGTCGAAACGTCGTGAGAATTTTATTGTCTTATTTTATCTTGTTATTTTATCGTCATTCTACGTGACTTTACCGAAAGAACCAAAGAAGACGAATCCTTGCAGTCACAAAAGCTTTAAGTCGAGACGCAAAGTAAGTTGTAACTTTTACGTGCCCAGTGCTTAATCTAGATTTGAAGTTTTCTGCGACTGCAGGGATCCACGCTCTTTGCGTTCTTTCTGTAGCAGTCACGTGGTAGGTATACAATACAATAAATTAAATCACGACGTTTCGGGCGCACAACGCAAGCGTCCGTCAGCAGGTGGGACAACCACGGCAAGAAATATTGCTGAAGTGGGCAAAAGGGGGCTGCTTGTAACAAGAGGCTATACACTAACACCTTGGATATGCGAGCATAATTCGTTCCGGAAACGTGTTTTGTAATCCAAAGCACTCGTATATCAAAGCACTCGTACATCAGTTGTGATCACGTGATGCTCGGCAGTGCAAAGCGTGTACACGTACTACTACTACTCGTATCGCAAGACCCTCGCTCGTTTATCAAATTAATATTTATTTAAAAAAAAAATTAGCTCGTTTCGCCGCGGTTGTCCCACCTGCTGACGGACGCTTGTGTCGGGGGCCCCCCCCCGAAACGTCGTGATTTAATTTATTTTATTTTATACCTACTACGTGACTTTACCGAAATAACCCAAAGAGCATGGATCCCCGTGCTTAATTAGTGGGCGGGTTTTATTTATTTAACCTTCTGAAAAAAATAAAATATGCCCATGTCTCGCTACCCCCAGAAAGGGCATCGCGCACCCCCTGGGGAAAGAAGAACCCACTGCTCTAAGGGGCCGTCCATAAATGACGTCACGCGATTTTGGACCCCCTCCCCCCCTCGTCACACGGCGTCACAAAAAGTCAGACCCCCCCCCCTCAAATATGACGTCACAAAGCTCTGCTCCCCCCCCCCCCCCAAAACCATATTTCCATTTTTAAAATAAAGCGTGCTTTAAATCGCTTTCAACTATTGTCATTGTAGTGCGTATTTAATGTGGCGCTGCACTCTGATGTTGTAGGAGAAAACATTTATTTAAAAGTCTATTTAATTAAGTAGAATGTGTTGTGTCTATATTTATTTAAAGTTGCGCAATTTTGATGTGACGTCACATTTCTGAACTCCCGCCTCGTCACACATCGTCACAAATGTTTGACCCCCCCCCCTCCCCCCTAGGTGCGTGACGTCATTTATGGACGGCCCCTTAGAACGTCGCCTATTATATATATTTTTGGGGTTCTTATTAAAACCACAGCAGCATTATTATTATTGACGAACATGTTGAATGTGTCATTGTATTAATTGTTGCACGTACACCACTGCTGACGCTGTCAGTCAGTAGCAAGTGGTAAGTTAGCAAATATGATCTGATTGGCAAGCCCCGCCCCTTGGCGAGCCCCGCCCCGATCCTTGACGAGCCCCGCCCCTTATTGAGCACTCCCCCCCTGCCCCCCATCAAATGGTCTCGCCCACGTCAATCCCCGCTCACCACTAAGCCCGGCCCCACTACTTAATCGCTCACGGGGTCGCCCCCCCGCCTAATAAAAGTGAGCCCCGCCCACTGATAAACTCCGCCCACAACTGAGTTCCACCCCACCTCCCCGCGTCGAGCCCGGGTTTTAAATGGCGGGGGGGGGGGTCTCGCGCACGAGTTGCCACGCCCAGCTGGTGATCCCCTCCCCCGCCTCGCGACCAACCCCGCGCCCACTGATAACAAGCTCCGCCTACTGATGACAAACCCCGCCCACAAACAATAATCCCCGCCCCACTGATTGCAAGCCACGCCCACCGATGACAGGCCCCCACCCCGCCGGTGAGAGACCCCCCCTCTTCCCTACAGTATTTGATGATAAGCCCCACCCACTAATTTGCAAGTCCCCGCCCACCCACGACAGGCCCCGCCCCGCCGCACGCGCCGCATATAAAAGGTTCGCCCTAGCACGACGCTCACTCACAGGAAGAAGTCTCGCAGTGACCTCGCGTGCACGGTTACGGTGTCTGTGAATATTTTTTTTGTGTGTGCGTGTTTGTTAAAGCGAATTCATTATTTTAATCCGAAACCAACAAAAAAAACTATAACATAGTCACTTACGCAACGCACGCAATTTGCATCACTATATATACATCAAAACAACAACACAATTACCAATTCGCATTGAGCAACGGTGGGTTGCCAGAGTGACAGCGGCGAGAGTCGCCCTTTGCCGGCTTTGAATAACCCCCGCCGCATTCGCGAGCCACAAGCCAGCGGGAGCCTCGGGGCAATGTCGTCTCCCGCTCCGCCTCCTCCGCCTCCATCCTCAAAGCAGCCCGGACCCAACTTTGTGGGAATGAACAGCGTCCTCAAGTCTCTCTTGGAGAACCCGCTCAGCCTCAAGCCCGGAGCCGACTCTGGTGAGAACGGGAGTTTGGGGGGGGGGTGGAGGGTGGGGAGTGGGGGGTGGTTACTCTTCTCACAAAAAAATAATTGATTAGCTTGCATTCGGCTTGAGCTGGTAAGATTTTTTTTTAATTCATAGTTTTGTTTCTGTGTGTATATTTACACGTATTTTTTTATATAGTAAGTGATTTGTTTACATTTATACTTTGCACCCCCCCCCCCCCGTCCTGTTTTTGTATTCGTTGTAACGTTGTTGACTCCGTTCCCCCAACCTACTGGACGTCTGGTGAAAAGAGCTTTATAGCTCATCGGATTTCTAGGGGGGGGGGGGGTCTGGCACGAGCTCCGTGGCCGAGTGGTGAAGGCGCGCGCCCTCGAATGCGGAGGTTGGAGGTTCGAATCCTACCTAGGGCTGAAATTAAAAAAAATATTTTTTTATATTATCTTTTTTTTACCAATCGGTGAATGATTAATGTACTGTAATCCGATGTGCGTTTATCGGATGGCGTATACAGTTTGAATTGCGATAGCGTCTCTGGACGTTGTACAAGAGGAAAACGTGGGCATGTGTTTATTTTACAGTTTAAAAAAAAAGAGCCAGTTCTAACAGATCCATATACTTGAACTTGTATAAACATTTAAACTAAAACTAGGTTTCCTGCCTTTTTTTCTGGAAACAAAACAGTTGTGTTAAGATGTTAAGACACCAAACTGGGAATGTTATTGTTTTATATTTGTATTATTTTATTGTTTCCCTTCTACGTGGTGACTTTACCGAAAGAACCAAGAATAATAATAGGAATCATGTCTGAATTAACCTACAATGCTTGCGGTCAGAATGCAAAGAAAAACCACACTCTGATAATATATGATGCATTGTCTTTGATTGGTGATCTCGTCTTCGTATTTGTGTCTGTTATTGCATCTGTTTTTATTAGTACACGCGTGCGTGTGTGATAGCTTGATATGTTAGCACAGTAGTGGGGGGGGGGGTACAGCTGGTGGTGCATCTACCAGTGGTCATCTCAGTCGGCCAACCCATGGCACCTGCTGGGTCTGTCCCGTGACCTCCTGCACCTAGCCTGGCACAGTAGGGGGGTACAGCTGGTGGTGCATCTACCAGTGGTCATCTCAGTCAGCCAACCCATGGCACCTGCTGGGTCTGTCCCGAGACCTCCTGCACCTAGCCTGGCACAGTAGGGGGGTACAGCTGGTGGTCATCTCAGTCGGCCAACCCATGGCACTTGCTGGGTCTGTCCCGAGACCTCCTGCACCTAGCCTGGCACAGTAGGGGGGTACAGCTGGTAGATGCAGTCAGTCAACCCATGGCACCCGCTGGGTCTGTCCCGTGACCTCCTCCTGTCAGCGAGCCTTCGACAATTTCACGTGGCCTCCAAGTGCACCTAGCCTGGCACAGGCAACGTGTTGACGTCCCTTAGTGGCGGCGACGTCAACACGGGCATCGATCGCCAAGTGGTGATAACCACCAGCAGCAGCTCTTGTGCCAGGCTAGGTGCGCTTTGAAGTGTGGCAAGAGGGCACGGGTCAGACCCCCCCCCACTCCCCCCAGGTGTTTTACTTCAACCCACACAACCACTCTGTGCACAGACAAAGATCCCCCGTGTAGCCTACGCAGACTGTTGGGGCAAAGTGCACAAAGTTGTTGTGGGTTTTAGGCCATGCCGCCCACAACAACAACAACAGCAGCAGCAGCAGCAACAGCCTCCATTCGCGGCGTCACCACAGCGCCCGTGCCAGGCCAGGTGCACTTTGAGTGCCACGTGAAGTGTCGAAGGAGGCCACGTGACAGGCCGCCAGGTGCCGTGGGGAGTCACTGACAATATGTTTACAAACCGCACCGGGTACTCATTTGAGGCCGAGTCGACCTAGGGGAGGCCCCGGGACCGGTTCAGATAATCGTCGTGAGACGGGAATCGAACCCGGGTCGCCAGGTTCGTGGCGCAGCGTAGCGCTAACCGCTACACTACCGCTCCCCACTACGCATACATACACTTGCATACACTTACACAAAGACAAAAATCCACCGTAATGGCCTTTACACTACACGGCTCTACGCACTTGCACTCCCCCACACGTGCAGACGGCCACTGCTGGGGATATGCTAATTTGCGGTCTGAACGGCCATCTCGACGTGCCAACTCCTCCTGGCACGGAGTCTCAAGTGCAAGTGCGTGGGTGAGTGGTGCTCGCCACCACACCACACCCCACCCACACCACACCCACCCCCCCCAACTAAACCCCACAGTGCCGCTCTTCATAGGTGCTGCTACCTGCTCGCTTAACAGCACTTGCCCCTGACGGTCTGTTGAGCCTACACGGGGGTTCTCTGTCTTTGGTGTTTTGGTGTTGGTCACCCAGACCCACCCCACCACCAGCCATCCCCCACAGTGCCGCTCTTCATAGGTGCTGCTACCTGCTCGCTTAACAGCACTTGCACCTGACGGTCTGTTGAGGCTACACGGGGGTGGATCTTTGTCTCCGCGTGCATGTTTGTTTGTATGCATGCGTGTTGATGTGTAAACATGTGAGTGTTGTGTTGCGCGTGTGTGTCTGTGTGTGTGTGTGGGGAGCGGTGGTGTAGCGGTTAGCGCTACGCTGCGCTATGAACCCTGGCGACCCGGGTTCGATTCCCGCTCACGGCCAACACCCAGTGACGATTATCTGAACCGGTCCCGGGCCTCCACCTAGGTCGACTCAGCCTCAAATGAGTAACTGGTGCGGTGGATAAAAACATTGCCACTGGGGAGACAAAGGCGGTCGGGCGTGGTGCTGGCCAACCCACCCCCCTCGTGTACCGTTCCGGCCTTCATAGGTGCTCGCTAACAGCACTTGCCCCCCAACAAAATGTTACAGGCGATGTGGAGGGTTGGGGGGTGAAGGAGGGTGAGGGGTGAGATTGTTTTACCCTTCGTGTTTAATTTTGTGTGCATGTCCTCGAATGACGGTCAAGGTGGCTTGCCCGAAATGAGAAGTCATCTCTTCTGCGAGACGAGACTTGAAGCCGACGTTTTCATATTTCAGCAACATTTTCTGACATTCTTCCAATTCTGCCGTTTCAAGTTAAAAGACGAGGTGGTGGTGGTGGGGGTGGCGGTGTTTCCCATCCCCGTGGCTTGTGGCGCTCTCTATTCACTCGTTCCTCAATGTGCGAGCGGATTGTAGCTGCTGCTGCGGCTGATGGCGTGCCAGGCCCCCACCTTCGCACGTGCAGATTGGCGTGAAGTCCGACGTTTCGCCTGCCCCCCCCCCGCCGCCGCCGAAGCGCCCCCGGGTGCTTCCGGATTGGGAAAGCGATTTTTTTTTTGGTTTGTTTTGCCAACAGCTCGCGTGTCCAGCCAGCTACTTCGTACGGCCGACGTTGATTGTTGGAGCAAGGAATATCATTTTTTTAACTTTGTGAGTTGGTTGTCGAGGCAATTTACTTGCACAGCGGTTGCTGCTGTTGCTGCTGCTGCTGCAGGCTGTTTTTGTCGGCTATTATCGCTTGTGCACGCAGGCTCATAGGCAGGGCTATGTTACAAACACCAACAGCAGCAGCAGCAGCTGCATCACCCACCCGGCAACTCTTTACTGAGCAGGTATCCCTCGCGTTACGTGGTGGTAGTCGGGAGTAGTAGATACTTTCCAAAACGAAACGGCTCGCAAAGCGAGACTACGGGAGGGAGAGAGCTGCCTGCCGAGCAGCACACACAGCAGACACGGTGTACACACACACACACGGTGTACACACACACAGCACACACACAGCACACACACAGCACACACACAGCACACACACACACAGCACACACACAGCACACACACACAGCACACACACACAGCACACACGGCACACACACAGCGCACACGGTACACACACATACACGGTCTGCACACACACACACATACACACCCCACACACGGTGTACTGACACACACACGGTGTACACACACACACACAGCACACACACAGCACACACATACACGGTGTACACATACACACAGCACACTGTAGACACACACACAGCACACACGGTGTAGACACAGCGCACACGGTGTACACACACACACAGTACACAATGTTGTATCTCTGTGTCTGAATAGTACACACACAGTACACAATGTTGTATCTCTGTGTCTGAATAGTACACACACAGTACACAATGTTGTATCTGTGTGTCTGAATAGCACACACACAGTACACAATGTTGTATCTGTGTGTCTGAATAGCACACACACAGTACACAATGTTGTATCTGTGTGTCTGAATAGCACACACACACAGTACACAATGTTGTATCTGTGTGTCTGAATAGCACACACACACAGTACACAATGTTGTATCTGTGTGTCTGAATAGCACACACAGTACACAATGTTGCATCTCTGTCTGAATAGTACACACAGTACACAATGTTGCATCTCTGTCTGAATAGCGCACACATTACACAATGTTGTATATCTGTGTCTGAATAGCGCACACAGTACACAATGTTGTATCTCTGTGTCTGAATAGCACACACACACAGTACACAATGTTGTATCTGTGTGTCTGAATAGCACACACAGTACACAATGTATCTGTGTGTCTGAATAGCACACACAGTACACAATGTTGTATCTGTGTGTCTGAATAGCACACACAGTACACAATGTTGCATCTCTGTCTGAATAGTACGCACACAGTACACAATGTTGCGTCTCTGTGTCTGAATAGCACACACAGTACACAATGTTGTATCTCTGTGACTGAATAGCACACACAGTACACAATATTGTATCTCTGTGTCTGAATAGCACACACACACACAGTACACAATGTTGTATCTCTGTCTGAATAGCACACACACACAGTACACAATGTTGTATCTCTGTGTCTGAATAGCACACACACACACAGTACACAATGTTGTATCTCTGTGTCTGAATAGCACACACACACAGTACACAATGTTGTATCTCTGTGTCTGAATAGCACACACACACACAGTACACAATGTTGTATCTCTGTGTC